TTCACTGTCACATTCCCTTTTTGGTAGGAAGCCTTCTGATGATACCTAAAGAAGCCAGATCATTTCACAATCTTTATAATTTTTTTATTACCCACACACCATTCAAGTTCCATAGTCATTGCCAGTCCCAACACATGGCTGCACTTTGTGAAAATAAGCAAAATGTGTATTTTTTTAAAAATTAGAAAAATATTCATTTCAAACAGATCAAAATTATAATGATTATCAGTTTTTTTCCTCAAACCACTTACAGTTTCATCCTCTTAATAATTAATTTTTCCATAGACAGGAATAACCACCTTACATACTTTTCAATGTTATTCATAATGTGGTTGCCCCAGTACAACCAAATTCTTCCCTTCTCCTAAATTGGCAGCCTTTCCTTATCTCATCCAGATCCTAAGTCATGCATCCTTTTCAGGTACACCCAATGCTACCTTAATGCTAGGCTCATCTATTGCTGTTTTTTTTTTTTAATTAAAACCTAATTAATTTCCACTTAAGAATGAATGAGAACTATAAAGAATGTTCTTTTCCCCACTTAGGATAATGGGTTGGGGGTGAAAAGTCCCCTTTGTTTCGAAGGTGCCAGGTCGGAGGCAGTTGCTTGGGGGCAACCGTCATTGCTAACTTCACGCATGTGCACCAAGACATGATCGCTCATGGAGCGTGGTCTCTGGTCCTTCTTTAGGGTGTGGCAGTCTTCAAAAAAAACTTATTGTGTAATACTATTAACAACAACGACAGCAATGATAATAATAAATGAATTTCTCACTTTTTTTGTATTGGTGTTGAGATTAGTCTTTTTATAATCAAATGTTACTGATTTGTCATTCTTTACGTAACTATACAATTTGGGGAGTACGTTTTCACACCTCCACTGGTGCACAAGCTTCACCAGCCACTACCAAAGGTCCAGTGCCAGTGCCCTATCACATTACTGCCCCATCCCCTTCCCTCACACCCTGCCCAGTGGTCACCGAAGCTAAAGGTCATTTTTGCTCTGTTTTGACACTTTGATTTCTTGAGTTATATATAATCCACCTATGAGTGAAACCATCTGGTAGTTGTCTTGTTTCTCTTAGCATAATTGTCTCAAGACCTATTCATATTGTCAAAAGCCATTATTTTATCTTTTTTTGTTTTCATTTTCCATTTCTTTCAGGGATTGGGGTGAGAGGGTTTTTTAGACTGGAAGTTAGTTACAAAAAGTGTTCTGCTCACTTTCAAACTATTTTTCTGTGAAACAAACGTCAAAGTCTGGGTTTGATTTCTCTGTCCTTAAACTTCTTTGGCTTTTTCTAATTATGTTTCTGCTTAAATCTTACTCTCCTCTATTTCCTTGGAGCATGTTTTCATATAAAGAACTTAATTTATAATCTATCAACATTAAATGAAGGTGGGCTTTTGGTTTAGGCTCAAAGTCCTCAGAGTATAGACGGTTATTTACTGTGGCATAATTTTTTTTTGAGTATTTCCTAAAGCTCTTTATTTTTTTTTTTGCTTTTTTTTTAAATAAATTTTATTTTTATATTCCCCATACAATTGCAGCCCCCTTATTTTGACCCCAATCCCTCCCCTCCCCGCACCCCACCCCACTATGGAGAGCTGTGTGGAGATTTCTGGACCTACTAAACATAGAGCTTCCATATGATCCAGCAATTCCACTCCTAGGTTTTTACCCAAAGGACGCAGAAACATCAATTCCAAAGAGCATAAATATTTTTTTAAGGACTTGGTAGGAATTAAGCTGTTTCCAGCTGTAGGTTGGGCACATTTTCTTTGGGGAAATGTCTCATCCCATACTAAATGTGAGAGGGAGGTTTTGGGTTATAATCTCCCAGGTAGTCTACTTTAAATACCACTTGGAAATTAAACAGCAAACTTCTATGTACATTTCTATGCCTGAAGTCACAACGGATGTACATATTTTGGCTAGAAAGCAAACAAAAACATTTTTCAACATAAATGCCAGTGCTTTCATTTCCTTTTAGTTTCAAAAATCAGGAGAGAATGCTTCTATCAGGAAAACAGAAAAGTTCTAGATTCAGGTCTTACTTAACTGATTGCATGGTCAAATTCATTAATCTTTAGCATTGAATTTTACACTCAGACTGCATTCAAAGTACTGAATCCCACTTTATATGCACAGATAAAGAGATTTATCTTATGAGATAATCATCTGGTAAGTAAATATCCACTCAATCTGTAATAAATATTACTTTCAAATAAAAAAATAAGTTTTCATGTGTAAGATGTTTTACCTATATGTATGCTGATTTTATATATGCAGTTTTGCCTCATTCCTTGCAAGTTTGCAAACATTTTATGTAGCAACTTATGTAACTTAAGTACAATTAAAAAAAAAAATGAGTACTGTTATGTTCCCCAGCAGATGTCAAAGTGAAATAGATCTTTTTCTGCTCTCATATTAGGAAATTCATAAAGGAGATGACAGCATCAGCATCACATGTGGGTATATTAGAGAAAGTGAAAAGAATTGATATATAGAACAAATGTGTGACTTGTATTTTAGGCAGAATAGAAAAAAAAAAAAAAAAGAGGAAAGGAGGCATAAGTAAGTTAAAGGAAGGCACCAGAGTAGAGGTCCCTTATTCTTCTTCTACTTCTAGTAAGTATATAGCACAGATGTTGTATAAAGTAAGTATACAGAGTATACAGGAAGTTTTGCAATTGAGAAAGCCCTAATAGCAAAGGATCCTGGGCTTCAGTGTGGAACAAATTCGATGAGCAGGAATGAGAACAGGATGAACAGTGAGAAAGAAAGGAGATAGGATTAGCACAGCAAAAGCTTGGTTTTGGTCTTGAGGAAAATTTGAAGATATTGGGTAAAATGCAGCTTCACTTTGACATTCTTGACTGAGGCAACTTGGTGGCAGAAATAACCAAAAATAAAGGGTAAAGTGTCCCTAGAATACCGATAGTTTGAACCTGAAAACCAAATTGTCAGTATGCAGATAGAAAATAATTAAAATATATCTAAAAATAATCTTTAATATGTATCAGGATTTATTCAAATTATAAAGGGTACTTGTTTTTCTATTTGCAAAACAATAAAAAGATTATTGGGGTCTTATTAACATTAACGATTGGGCACATGTCAGCTGCTTGGAACTGCTTCTAGGCTATGGCAAGCACTAAATAAATGTTAGATGTCATCCTTACTTCTCTGTCAGTCTTTGCATGACCCCCCAAAAAGAAAATCAATTTTATTTTAATCACAGTATGTTTTATTGTGGTTATGTTGATTTATAACACTATGATTTAGGGCTTATAGTTTCACCCCTCTTCATATTTGAATATAATAGCTTTTATTTTCATCTCAACACCTTAGTATCATTTTGTTCATTCTTCTTTTCTTTGTGTACAGGGTACCAAATTTATACCTACAATAGGAAGATGAGAACATAATTAGTGCCCATTGCATACTGGATACATTATAATCTAACCTGGACAAACCTGGAATATTGATACTAGAAATATCCATATTAAACAGGAAAAAATGATTGTTAGATCTTTAGTCTGGTCCTTAGTCTGTTCTTTCAACTGACTCCAAAGTTGATTTATTGACCATTAGAGCAAATTACTAAGGGACAAAAGAATTAAAAGCACTATAGCTTTCTGTCTGAAGAAATGCCTTGAGGGAATAAAATCAGAATTAATTTCCTGGATGTTCAAAATTAAGTTTTAACATTGAGATAAAAGGACATAGCTTAGGGAGAGTTAAGGAGATAATGACTTCCATAAGTTTCAAGTGTCAATATAAGCTTCCCAGAGGTAGATACCAAGGAGTGGATTTTGAGCATAGGTGTGTTACTTTCAGAGTTTAATCCAGTATGGTATATTGAATGTATTATAAAGAGACAAATATTAAAGTAAAGATGGAAAATCTCTGTCCTAGTCAAGGAGGGCTGCCTGAGTGTTTTCAGAGAACATTTTCCTGAGAAAAGAAAAGAGAGGACTCAGAGCAGGAGGGATTCTGAGGTAAAACTCCCAACTAGTGACTTAAGTTACCTTTTAGATGCAAATAAACTTGAGGAAAAAGAGTCTACTACCCCCAAACACCCTTTCAACATATTTTTAACCAAGAAATCAATCATTAACAGAACTTAGAGCTCTTGCAAAAATTTGGTACAATTCTTAGTCAATTTACTAGGATTTAAAGTCATTTAGATAATGCTCTGTACAGTAATTGCATCAACTGGATGCAAAGGATATTTTTCATGTTGCATTTACATAGCTTTTGTGCAAACCTTCATTTATTAAAGCAAAATGTTGAAGCCCAGTATGTGTTAAGCAAGTTTTTTTCATGCCTGTGTGCTTTGTTCTAACTGAGCTTGTAGACAGCCTTTAGTTCTCAATTTTATGTATCTAATTATTATTTTTATCTATTTATGTAAAAAAAGAATGTCACAGTCACTTAACTTCCCTGTTATTTTTTTCTTTATTGCTCTTTATAATGTTGAGAAATATATAATGCTTCCCTTTTGTGCAAACAACTCAATTGAGATAATATTTTAATACCATTTTTTTAAATCAAAATTTCATGATAAAAAGATTAAGTAGAGATGGGGTTCTATCCTGCAGTTGCCTAACTCACCTCATTCATTTCACTTTAAATTTGGTTGTTTCAGCCTATCAGCAGGCAAGCTATTCTAGGAAAGGAAATGTATTTTCCCATAAGCTCACTTTCTTATTCTACACAAAAAGTGACTGTGTATTTCTGATTATGCCGTGAGCACCTGTACTTGTTAATACTTTTCCTGTTCACTCAAGAAAAATAACCTGATCTGATACATTTTAGGATGGACATGCAAAGTTTAAACTCAGTTATTTTAAAATATAGTATGCGGTGTTGATTAAAGATGTGAAGTTATTTCTACAACACTCATTCAGAGTCACACTGTGCTATTCAATATTTCTCATTCTAACCTGCCATTTTTCCAGGCAAATCCACTGCATCTTATTTGCATTAGACCATGGAAAATATAAATAATGTCACCGAATTTATTCTGTTGGGTCTCTCCCAGAACAAGAGAATCAAAAACTTTTGCTTTCTACTATTCTTATTCTGTTACATTGCTATCTGGATGGGAAACTTGCTTATAATGATTTCAATCACATTCAGTCAACTAATTGACCAGCCCATGTATTTCTTCCTCAATTACCTTGCTCTCTCAGATCTGTGTTACACCTCAACAGTGACACCCAAGATGGTCACTGATTTGCTGGCAGAAAGTAACATGATTTCTTATACTAACTGTATGGCACAGCTCTTCACCATGCACTTCTTTGGGGGGATTGAGGTCTTCATCCTCACGGTGATGGCCTATGACCGCTATGTGGCAATCTGCAAGCCCCTGCACTACATGGTCATCATGAACAGGCACAAGTGTTTCACTATGGTCTTCACTTGCTGTGCTGGAGCATTTCTGCATTCCTTTGTCCAATGTCTCCTCACCATCAGCTTACCTTTCTGTGGTCCCAATGAAATAGACCACTATTTCTGTGATGTCTATCCTTTGCTGAAACTGGCCTGCACGGACACATACATAGTTGGGATTCTGGTGGTTGCCAACTCAGGCATGATGGGCTTGGTGACTTTCGTGGTTGTGATGCTGTCTTACTGTTTGATACTATATACTATCAGGCCTTACCCAGCAGAGAGCCGCACCAAAGCTCTTTCCACTTGCAGCTCCCATGTCACAGTTGTGGTCCTGTTCTTTGTGCCTGTCCTCTTCATCTACATTAGACCGGCTGTCACTTTTCCAGAAGACAAAGTGTTTGCTCTTTTCTACACCATCATTGCTCCCATGTTCAACCCCCTGATTTACACACTCAGAAACATGGAGATGAAGAATGCCTTGAGGAAAGTGTGGTGCAAGATACCATTTTTGATTGGAAGGCAAATTAGTTGAAAGACACTTTACCTCCTCATTACATACTCTCCTCAAGTGACATTTGCTCTAACTTAAGTTCATTCAACCAGGAACTTTGCTTTAGCAAAAAAAGCAAACAACAACAATAACAAAACAACCAACATGGATACTAGATGAGGCCATTACTATTATAATTTACATTTAAATAATTTCTTCTTCATTTATTGATCAGCTTCTTAACAATTTCTTCCCTAATTATTGGAGTCATTATTTCCTTGTTCTAGTTCTGTTACACTTTTCTATGATTTTATTTTTTTTCTTGTATGGATTTTACCTATAAGTTGCGACAAGAAAGTAATCATGCTCATGTCTGTGTAATGACTCTCCAAATGTACTTAAGCTGTTCTCATATTGCTCATCCCAGTCCTAATGGTGGGCCCATGTGATCTTGTTATAATCCCTGCATTCTCATTCATAAAGAGCATCGAAGCTATAGAATCATATTTTTGGCTCAGCTCCTGAGTTTCCATAATTATTGCAAAAATTTACAAATCAAATATCATTTACATGAGGTCTAAACAATAAAAATATTATTTATGTAAGAATGCATAAAAAGTAATTTTTTCTAAAACTAATTTGATCATTGCAAACACAAAATTTTGATGATTTTAGAAATATTTGCTTTAAAATTCCCTTTATATGGTCATGAAAATAATGGTGTTTGTAATAAATAGCATCATCATATAATTTTTTCCTCTACACTTAAACCATTGAGTGTAAAAAGGGGGGCCAGTAATAATTATGCTGCAATTATAGATGCAAAATGGTGTTGTGTCAGGAGACTAGGGTGTTTGGCTACCCTTAAGTGTCTGAGAGGTAATGGCAATGATGTGTGGAAGCTCACCTTAATATTGCTTGGAGCCAATGGGATTGTTAAAATAAATGTAAATGTTTGTATTGACTACTTCATCTAGAGTATACTTATTTTTTTCATTGTTGTCAAAGAAATAGCTGAATTTTCAATTTCTACAGAACTTCTATACATATAAAGCTCTGTAATAATCTGTGTATAATTGAAAAATTTTCAAATAATTGAAGCAACGGTTTTTGTCACTATTTCATAAAATGGGACACATTGACTTCATAAAAATAGAATAATGGAGTGGAGTATATCATTATATTATTATGGTTAAGAAGAGACTAATGAACATAGCATGATTATATAAATGAATAACATAAATGCAAAGACAAAATAATGTCATCATTTTATGACAGTATATTTTGAAAAATTTTAGAGTTGTGCAAATGGAGAAATATGATTGAGGCATTGTCCTTAAAAGAGTCATGTTATATCGGTATTAACAATTCAAAGGAATTTTTATTACAGCAGTTGATAACTGCATTGAAACTTTATGAAATTTCTATGCTATCTACATCATGATACAAGCCACTTTGCCCATTTTGTGCTAATTTGAAGCAATGAGAAAATTGTTAACATATATTTTATTTTGGGGCCTCCCCAATGGCTCAGGAGTTAAAATCTCAGTGCTGTCAAGCTATTTCCAGCTATTGAGGCATGAGTTCAATCCCCAGCCGGGGAGCTACCCACATGGTGCAGCAGACCTCTCCTGACTCACTTGCTGCTCCCCTCAATGGTATATTTCAGTCAGTCTCCTGTTCTGTTCCCCACTCTGTCTCTGGTGAGTCCTCTCATCCCAACTCCCACCTCTGGCTTAGACTCCAGTTCTTGTATGCATAAATAAATAAAATAAATCTTTAAAAAAATTATTTTTAATATTTTATTTGTATTAAACTAAACTCTTACACTTATTTTGAAATGAAATGACTTTTGATTAAACTTATTATTGCAAAGTTATACTAATAACAAAGATGACAATCATGATTAAAGTAATTTCTTGTCATGTCAAAATAAAAAATGTGATGTTGATAAACATGCAGGTGAATAAAATCTTCATTAGTGAGAGGCCCTAGAAAGGCAACTGTGTATTCCTCCTCTTTTTCTTTCTCTATGAAATATAATAGAACTTCTTTATAAAGGAAGAGTTTGAAAAATGAATAATTTTCTTTAGAAAAGAAACTGTCCATAATCACTTTATTATTGTTGCTAATGTCTCTAATAGCTGTAAATATTGTGAGATATTTTCATTTTTTATCATATAGATTTTATTTTACACTTAAAATTTTTGTCATATTAGAATTATAAGCATAGGATTTTTGTGATTTCTATTCATGAATGTTTACATAACTTATAATAAAATATTTCAATCAACACAAGATATTTGTGACAATTTTTTGAAACCGCCATAAGCTCTAGTTTTGAAATAATGATCTACTTTGAATCTGCTTTATTTTACAGATGAACAAACTAAAAGTTAAGGAGTTAAATATTTCTATGTATGAAAGTGCATCATTAAGGAGCATCAAAGAGAGGCCATTAAATAGGCAGAAAAAGAAAAAAAAAATCTCCTGTAAATTGATCATAGTTGTCCAAGTTTTATCTCTACTTGCCAGCAAGGGGGGTCTTCCCAAAAGCCAGATCATAGATTTCACTCCTGATGGTAACATAAGAGATAGCTGGATAAATTTTTTATACAGACACAATAGAGAAAGGTCTAATTAAAGTTTATAAGCAAAACAGGTGAGTGAACCTAGCTTCTCTGAAGACGCTGTATTTAATTACAGTAAAATCCGTGAGAACCTTGCTCAAATATTTTCCTCCCCAGAAGGACCTCTGAAGATTGTCAAAATGTCTTCCTTCAAATATAAAGACTATTTTGTTCTCAGGAAACTTTTTTGACGGACAATCCCCACTTCAGTTTCACTAAGGAAAAAACTTTCTCATATTGTGATTTTGTGCTCTTCCAGTCTATTAATATGTTATATAGTTAAATATTTTTTATACTTGGAGTTGAAATTTTAAATTTGCACTTGGGCTCAGTATTAATTTCAGAAACAATTATTGGCAACAATAGCATGTATATAGATAATCTATGTATATATGATATTTAATATATATATATATATATGTGTGTGTGCAAAGTATATATGCAAACATCCTGTAGTCAATCATTATTCAGAGCAACGTGCCATATGTAGTAGGGTTGTACACTGTGATGTTCTGCTTAGAACTGTGCGTTCTTTTTTTTTTTTTTTCAATTAGGTGCAATGATTGTAGTTCATAAACACACAACGACCTGCTGGTTATCTGGTATAAAAAACCCCCAAAATCTAAAGTTACAGCATAAAAGTTCGGATAATTACTTTCTGAATGGAGTTTGCACATGTGGTTGTTTCTATTATCCCAAGACTGCTCAGTTTTATGGACTTTATTGCCTTTTATACCTTGAGACTAACTTGTATATCCCTTTAGGCAATGAACTTGCCAAATAATGAATGAACATGTCAAAGTTGTATTTCACTTAGTATCACATGCAGAAACCAATAAGATGTTACTCTTGGTTCAGACAAGAACAAAATGTACCAGGCATTCACAGTAATAGGAGTGCTGAAATTCATTGTATAAGCAAACACAATACTAGCAAAATAGCCATAGGATACTAAAATTAAAAGAAAACCACAACAATAATTCATCTTTATTCAATGTGCCTTCTATACCTATATGAAAGCATATTCTTTTGCAAGTAGCTCATGCAAAGTTGTGGAGTGTCTAGAGACCTTCAAAATTCTCTCTAGTCCTCTCTCATCATCCAGTGGTCTGATCTTCTAGCCTTTTCTGTTATTGGACAAATTTGCTCCAGGGTGACTTTATACCTACTGACCTTCAGCTTTCACAGTTCTAAAAATGAACACATTGCATTTAAATGATATCCTATACTGGCCTACTGCAAAAAAAAAAAAATATATATATATATATAGGGGCCTCCCCTGGTGGCTCAGGCAGTTGAGTGCCACGCTGTGAAGCTGTCCGCAGCCTCTGCAGCACAAGTTCAACCCCTGGTCGGCCAGGGAGCAACCCACATGGTGAGGCAGACCTCTCCTGTCTCACCCTCTGTTCCCCTCAGCAGTGTATTTCATCAGTCTGCCTGTTCTGTACCCCTGCTCTGTCTCTGGTGAATTCTCTCACCCTCCTGCACATCTGGCCTACACCCCAACAGTAATTTCAGCAGTAATAGTGTTAGCTAGCCAGGAACATGGCAGCTTCATGGAGGTATATCTGTAACAACAGGATGATAATGTCAGTGTGAGAGTCGCTTAACCTTTTCTATCCTTGGACACCCAGTGCTCTGGAAGAAAGTCATTATCAGAATAGTTACCTTTCCGGTGCATAATGGGAAATTGGGCAATAAGAGAGTCATGCTCAATGAGCACTTAGTGGGGCAGACAGTTCTGTAGCATTTCACAGAGACCTCACGAGAGTATGAACGATGTGTTGTGATTATCACTACAATGTTAACATGTTATATATGGTTTGTTGGACATATGTCCTGTCCTCAAACTTACTTAGCAACTTGGGGTCCAGAACTCATATTCTTAACCAATAACTATCAGGTACTGATATTGGCAAAGAGTTGCAGCTGATTAGTCTATGAACAGAACTGGGAGATAAAGTGCATTAGAAGAAAAGATTCTGTTGAGGGGCTTGGAAAGGAGTCCTGGTGGTTTGGATGTAGAAAGCTCTGGACTGTCACTGGCTACAAAATGTCAGAGGAGAAGGTGTTTTTGTTTTTGCCAAATATTACTGTGGGACAAAAAAGAGACAAATTAAATCTTTTAAGGTATTTTCTAAGTGGTGCAAGTAAAATATTGGAATTATTTTGTTTTGATTGCTTGGAGGCTGGAATCAGCTTCATTGCATGCAGTCACTCCAAGAATGCGCTATATGGCTTTGTTGTGTTGGTTAGTTACACATTATTTTCAATAGCTTGATGCTAAATATCTAAAATAATTATGTAGTTAAAGGAAATAGGGCAGGCACAGGAGATAGAAAAAGAAAACTAGAGGAGTAAGCAAGACAAAAAGGAGGTCTGGATAACTCCAGAGAATCATACATTTCAGTTCTTACTTGGTTCTATCCATGTTGCCAGAAACAAGAGAGAGAGAGACTTTGTAATCATTGTAAGCATCAGCATTCTAAAGATTTCTGGGTAGAGAAATCATATATCCAACAAGCACTGTGATGAAAATCAGGGGTGTTTCATGTTATTTCCTTTCTTCCTATGAGGCGGCACCATAGTTTCTTTATAGCATTCTTCATCTCCATGTTTCTTAGTGTGTAGATCAGAGGGTTGAGCATGGGGGCAAGGATGGTGTAAAAAAGAGCAAAGATTTTGTCTTCTGGAAAGGTAGCAGCTGGTCGAATATAAATAAAGAGTAAGGGAGCAAAAAAAAGGACAACCACGGTGACGTGGGAAGTGCATGTGGAAAGAGCTTTGCGGCGATTCTCTGCAGAGTAGGACCTGACAGTGTATAAGATGATAGCATAAGATACCAGCAAGACCACGAAAGTCGCCAGCCCCATCACGCCTGAGTTGGCGATGACCAGGAGACCAATTCTGCGCGTATCAGTACAGGCCAGTTCCAGCAAAGGATACACATCGCAGAAGTAGTGATCTATTTCATTGGGGCCACAGTAGGGTAAAAAGACAGCTAGGAGAAACTGGCCAAAAGAATGTAGGAATCCCCCTGCACAGGAAGCAGCGATCATGGCCTCACACCTGTGCCTGCTCATGATGACGGTATAGTGCAAGGGCTTGCAGATGGCCACATAGCGGTCAAAGGCCATCCCGGTGAGGATGAAGACTTCAATCCCCCCAAAGAAGTGCATGGTAAAGAGCTGTGTCATGCAGCCCTTGTAGGAAATGGTCTTCTTTTTTGCCAGTAAGTCAATGATTAATTTGGGAGTCACAGTGGAAGTGTAACAGAGGTCTGATAGGGAGAGGTAGCTTAGGAAGAAATACATCGGCTGGTTAATAAGTTGACTGAAAGTGATAGAAACCATGACAACCACGTTTCCAATCAAAATCGCCATGTAACAAAGCAAGAATAGTAAAAAGCAGAAAGCTTCTATTTCCTGTTTCTGAGAAAGTCCTAAGAGAATAAATTCTGTGACGTTATTTCTACTTCCCATGTTCCAGAGCAGTTTGTAGTCTCCTGAAATTAAATACAGTACGAAGTCTTATGATGTATATTTAAATATAGCGGGGCATATCTTTCTTTGGGGCAGATTATGATGGAAGATCAAAGGTTGAAGAAATAAAAATTCAATTTTTCTTAGGAAGATTTTCTTGCTTGTTTCTCCCCCCTTTCTTGTATTTATTATGGGTAAACACTAACATTGTAAAATACAATTGTATTGTAAAATACAATAGTTATAGGGCCTCTCCTGGTGGCGCAGCGGTTGAGCGCTGGGCTGAGAAGCTGCCCGCAGCCCCTGCAGCGCCCGTTTGTTCCCCGGCCGCCAGCGAGGGTCCCATAAAATAAATAAATAAATAAATAAAATAAAAATAAAAAACAAGTTATACTCATATAATTATTACAGAAATGTAAATTTTAGAGATTAAAAAAAACAGATATATTGGTGGTGTTATGTTTGTCATTGACATGCACACAGAAATGAAACACTGAGTGAAAATACAAAATTACAAATATATAAAGCATAATATGTGGGGTAGTCATGTGTGAGAAATGCCCCACCAGCTATCCTATGTGTAAAGGTGTTAAAAAAGAAAAATCAACAAATGTATTTGGAATAATGAAGCATCTACAGATGACCACAATCAGTTATATTTCTCTTGTGCTGAATTCACAGATACTTGAATTTCAGATGAAGGATTATATTTCATAGTTAATCAAACAAAGGATAACAAGGCAAGCATGAATATCTCTATCTTTCAAAATATCATCTCAAATGTATTTTCTACTCAGCAAGATAATTTGAACACAATAGCAATAGGAGACTAAGCTTGGATTTTAGCCTCAGGCAGTGCCTTACCCACTTGCATAAACTGGCTTCTTTTTAACCCAGGTACACAAATTGGTCAACTCTTTCTCATTAGTTATCCTGAAAATATATACTCCTTTCGGTTCTTACAAGTCTTGGTATCTTCAACTATATGAAATACTGTACCTAAGTATTTAAAACATTTTTCCAGAAAATATTTTATGTCCATAACTTACGTACAGCAGCCATTTATTTACAATTTATTTTCAGAGCTGCAATTCTCCCTCCCTGTTCTTCCTTTAGTGGAATGACCATCCAAATATATATACATAAAGTATCCAGTGTGCGAGAGTTAACATCAGTTACAAAGTGCCACTTTGGGATTCTTTATATTAAATAATCAGGAGATTTATTGTGATCCCACCAGGCATCTCATTCAACCAATAATTGCATTTTAAGTTTCCTAAATGATTTTCAATTTAAAAGGACTTAGTGCTCTAACATCTTCTAAAGGTTGATTATAGTCTCATGATTTAATGAAAAGAAACTTAAAGTTTAATTATTGTCTGTTTTCTTTTTTCACATTTAACTTGCTACATGAGCAAGTTCATTAAGTTTCCCAGGCTTCCTCACCACCCCCCCACCCCTTTCTTACTTTCAAATATTCTATAGAAAGCTAAGAAGATATGGACTCCAATATACTATAAGAATCATTTCATATTTTCATATTTCAAAAACATAAATCACTTATCAACAGATAACTTTAAAATACTAGGCTACTGATAAAAAAAAATCTGACTCTCTTACATATTATTTCAATGATTTTTAACATGCCATCCCTTTCACATATATTAGTATGAACATAAGTATGTTGTGAGAATTAAGCTAGATCTCTAAGAGTGATTCTGTCCACGATTCTGACATGAATTAGGAGGTGTCAGCACATGGGTATTGATGGCTGGTTACCTTTCTTCCAAACATATCAGAAAACATTTATAACTGTAAGTACAGGTGGTTGTCACTCCTATCTAGTTAAGATCAGCAGACCTGATTGTACAATCACTGTTAAGTGACTGTTATCCCAGATATAAGCATACCCTCCAGACCCCTTCCTTTCTACGCATCCTTCCTAACCTACTACTTTACATTTCCTTAGCTCTTTATGAAGTCCAGGTATATAGAACTCTTCATGGTTCATAGTTTAAACTTAAGCATTTTCCCAGGAATTCCTAATAACTCTGCAGCAATGAAACAGGACTTTGATTTTTCATTCCCCTCAAGCCTTGTTCAATTCCATCAGAGTCAATTCAATGTCTACTGTTTCTAGATAGATTTTTCTGAATATTCAGTCCACCACGCAATGTTCACAGAAATACTGCCTTTTGGTGTTTGGAACTGTCTAGTTTGTTTCATATTGCTTAAGTCTGTCGATTGCTAAAGCTGTAGCTTCTCTCTGAAGGAATATCAGCTTGCTGAGAGTTAGAGTCCATGCTCATCTTTTCCTTTCAGGCTTGCCTTGAATGGGAAGTGTCTGATTTTTTGGTGAAATTACATAAGCTTTTTAAGACTCAGTTTATCATATATTGAGTAAAGAAAATACAACTTGCCCCCTGTTGATTTAAGGAATATTGTTTATAATTGATTGATTATGGCCTATTATGTACCAGGTTCTGTGCCATCTGAGAAAATTTCTGAAATAACTTAGACTGAAATTCTTATTTGGTAAGATAATTATCTGGGTCTCCCATAGTAGCAACCACATCAAGATGATGAGTGGATAATTACTTCAGGAATTGTGAAGGATTTGAAGAATTAGATTGATAAACGCACAATTTAGTCAATTAGAAATCATTTGGCCTCATAATATATTAAAATAATCATACTCCTTTCTTTTTTATAACATCACACTATATTTTAATTGTTTACACAATAACTCCTGATTTGCCAAATTGATGAATAAGTGCATTTTAAGTGCTTGAAAGAAAAAATAGAAGTTCATTTTTAATGTGTAGAATTATCATTTAACTGTTTTGTAGAGTATTGTTTAAAGAGAGATGAAAATATAGAATGCATATTATCAATGTTAATTCAAAATAATACAGATACAGTGAGATTTTCATTTAGAATAGTCTTCTTAATGTCTAACTGTATTGTATTTGTTAGCAAAAATTATTTGGTGGCTACATACATCCCATCCCTGAATCTGCCCCTGAACCCTGGCCCAAATTCTTAGTCCATTGCCTTACCATAGAGACTATACTATCAGTGTAGTCTTATATGTTAAAATCTAGGTGACTTTCCCTAAAACACCTTCCTTGCTGGTCCCCAAAATAGGCAGATCTAAATCTCACAATGCTTTATCCTTCATAGTTTCACCTCTCCTGGAGTCATATACAGATCATCAAATTAGTTCCTGAATTTTGCTGATAACCCAGTTTTGACTGAATTCTAATAGAAAAGGCAATGCTTAAGTACAGATATAAGAAATATAAACTACAAATATGACTGTTCAGAAAATTAACAGGAAGTAGGAACATAGTTATCTGACATATTCTAGACTTAATGAGTTTTCCTTTTCAGGAAAAGTTTTCCTTTCCTTTTCTCTGTATTCCTTGCTGAAATAAATCACTGACTTTAAGTTTTCTTTCCCTTTAAATTTGCCCAGGTCAGGGAAAAAAGTTATCACTGTCATGTTTTGAATTCCTTTATACAGTAGACACAATTATCCTATATGATTTGTATAAAAAGTATGTAACTATAGGAGGTGCTCTATTTTACCAAGTAGATGACGCAATAGTTTTAACAGTTTATTGTGTGTAAATTATGGTAGAAGTTTTCTGATAAACATCAGTCAAGACACAAATAATGTTAAAGTTGTTATTCTAATTATAAATTCTGAAGTTACATTATTGATTCCATGACAGTGTTTAGTTGTAGGTAGTTTTAATAAAACTTAAGAGATGCCCAACTTACCAGTTGTTTACTTTAAACTCAAGATGCAGGCAATGATTCACAACTACCATCGACTTAGAATCATCACCCAACAAATTCAATGAAAAGGCATTAATATGTCTCACTATCAAATAATCTGAAGAACTCTTACCTGCTCTCTAAGATAAGGTGTCTAGTGGTTTCTACAGAAAATTCAAGAGTCTTTTCCCAGCTTTATGTTAATATTCAAGAGAAGAAGAAACCAGTATCTTCAACATTTAAGTTGGTAACTATTCTTCATCTCTTTCTAAATAATGCATTTATCACAATCTCTAGGGATAATGAAAACAAAGATAGTCTACAGTGCTTGTCTGATTTCCAAAATGCTTTACTGGGAAATATTTATCTTGCAGAAATTTATTGCAGTATTGTTGTGAATTTGGAAATCCCCACTGGGATAATTTGAGGTGAAGCTGAACTTTGTTTTTTAACTATTCAAATATCTTAAGATAATTACATCAGTCAATTCATATTTAGCCTGGTCATATCTTCAGTCTAAGACCAGGTCATCTTCCATTTGGGTTTGGAAAAAAACATGATCTGGAAAGAAAACTCACAGTTCCCACCCCTCACAAAGAATTAGAAAGAGAAGGAAACTGAGTTTCAGGCATAAGGCAAATATTGTTTTTACTCTGATTTCCATTGAGTTAAGGATGCTCTGCCTCTCCTATTATCTGGTACAAACTCTTTTAAAACTTTATACAATTTTTCATCTTTCCTTCTCAATGTCCTTGGCTGTTGATTTTTCTGTCAACAAGTCATCCAAGCAATTGCCTTATACAAACTCATCCCTGGGATGGAAGATATTCTCTAGTCTTTTTTTTTTTTTTTAAGATTTATTTATTTATTAAATAAGCACTGGGTACAGTAAGAAGCATGGGAGGGTGAGAGAATTCACCAGAGCCAGAGTGGGGAACAGAACAGGCAGACTGACTGAAATACACTGCTGAAGGGAGCAGCGGGCACAGCAGGATAGGTCTGTGCGCCATGTGGGACCCTCGCCAGGGGCCTGGGATTGAACCTGCGCTGCAAAGTTTGCGGGCAGCTTCCCAGCCCAGTGCTCAACCGCTGCACCACTGCGGAGGCCCGATAGTCTCTAGTCTTTTTAATGAGTATGTATGTATGTATTTTATAATTTATTTCTCTGTAACCTTATATTCCCTGACAAAATTTTCTTCAAGCTTCACGGACCAATT